AAAAAATAAATAAATAAATAAATAAAGAAAAAAAACAAGAAAAGAAGAAGATAAGAAGGAAGAAGGAAAGTGGTGTGAAAACCACGGAACCAGTGTATATCTAAACCCACAAATATTCAAGATTCGTCTCCATCAAGATTGATAATTTCCATCCGAAATTCAAGGAGATAATATAGAGAAGATGAATCTCTATCCTATTCTACAATTATATCTCTTCAAAACCAGAAAACCTAGGTTCTATTTTGGTTATAAGAAAATCCCCAATTATTCCTTCTCAAAACACACTACTTAGCCGAAAGATTATACAAAGAGCAAGATAGTTCGAGTGAGTTTGTAATTGGGCAATTGGAGAAGAGAAGATAGCCATTGAACGAAATATTAGTCTCAAGTCCAAGGTTGAACAAGGATGAAGGTGAATTGCGGGGTCGAAGCCGGGTTTATTCGTAGGTTTGTGGGAGTATAGTTCATAAGTCTTTTTCTTACTCAATTGTTCCATATTACTATTATTTTGGATTACTTTGCTAGTTTGATTAATTACGTTGATTAGATTATTAATGTGATAAATTGGTCTTCGATTTTATAATCTATTTGCATAATTTCTTTCAGTCTACTGACTATTTGAAATTTTCTTGATCTTGATTATTAATTTTAAAATTTAACATTGATTGTTATCTTTCAAGTGTTTAATGAATTATTGCTATCTATATGGTTTGGCTTAGTTTAAATCGTATAGTAAAGTAGTCCCTAATTTTAAATCGAGTCTGCGATTATGATTTGGTTTAAATTAGAGGGCAAATTCCATCCAAATAATCTGACATTTATGTGTTTAGATTAGTTAAGACTAATGAAGTCTCCTAGATATTAATGCTTCCAAGATTAATTCATACAAGTTGCGACCATATTTGTGTTAATTAGATTGGTTTAGAGTCAATTTTGGCTTAATCCAAATTTGGTTTCAAGTAACGGAAGACATGGAGTCTTTATTAATAAAGTCTCTATAATTAGTCTAGTAATTAAATTGATTAGTTATGCAACGTCGGTTATCTATTATCACCAATAGTTTAATTCGAGTAAAGTTATGAATAAAATTGGTTAAGTATGTCGTCAAATGTATATAGTAGATTAGTATTTTCATTCTTGTTTAGTTTAGTTGCTCATTCAAGTTAGACCCCCCCATTCTCATGTATATAGTATAAATAGTATTCTTTATGTGTATATAGTTTTTTTTTTTAAGTTGACTTTGAATTTATAGAGTTGTTTAATCTCCTCGTGGGATCGACCCTTACTTACACTTTTTACTAGCTGTTAATATTTTTGAAGGTCTAAGTTAGGTATTTAATTAATTAATTTGGTGTGGTAAACGACCTGTATCAGTCTACTTAAAGCTTTTGAGTTAATGGTGCCCTAGCTAAGAAGAAGTTTTGTGTGAGGCATATATGGGAGAATTTCAAGCTTCAATTTACTGGCTCTACATTCAAAGACTTGTTCTAGAATGCTGCCAGAGCCACTACTTTGGTATGACACTACTTGACTCTTGAACTTACGACATTTAAGTATTCAAAGTGAACATGTACTTGATCTAGTTGTATTTTGAACTTCATGTCTTAGTTAGTTGTGGTTAAGCTATTAGTTTGTTGTTTCGAACATTTTAGGATTGGTGGTAGTTGAGATATTGACTAGATATACTGTTATTTTTCTAGTGTATTGTAGGCTGATTTTGAAATAGTAATAGAATCTATTAAGTTTCTGTCTGAGGATGCATATGAGTATTTAGATAACATCCTTGTAAAGCATTGGTCTAGACATGTCTTCTCCACTGAGTGCAAGTCATACATGCTTCTAAACAATATATGTGAGACATTCAATGCATGTATTAGAGATGCAAGGGACAAACCCATTCATACCTAAATGGAATGGATGAGGAGGTATTTAATGAATGGACACAATGACAAGTGGGAGGTTGTGCAAAAAATGGAAGGGAATTTAATGCCTTATTATAGACACATGATTGTGTCTCCCAAACACCAAATCCAATGATGAGTACCTTTCACAATTTGATTGACGAGTTTCGTAAAGAGTTGAAGAGTCTCGCAAAGTTTCCTTAAGCCTTGACCATATTTCTAACCTTACCTAAAGTGTTTTTAATCCAAATTATTCATTTCGTGTCCTTAGATCCAAAATCATTCATTTCACGTCCTTAAAAACATTCATTTTGAGCCCAAATTATATATAAAAAAAAAAAGTCCAAACCTGATTATTTTGGTCCATGTTCCTAGTCCAATTATTGCTGGGGGTGGCAAAAGCTGACCCTACCCGATAACCCAACACGAACCTGACTTGAAAATAGCGGGTTAGGGTTGAGATTTTTTACCCGAAAACTTAAATGGGTCGACACGAACCCAACCTGAAAATTAAATGGGTTAGGTTAAGGCTGAAAATTCTAACCCGAAAATGACCCATATAACCCGAAAAAATTATTGGGTCGAAATCAAGTCGGGTTAACCCGAACCCGACATGAATAACCCGAAAACAAACTAGGAATAAAACATTTTTAAAAACTCTAAAGTAACCAGCCTAAGCTCAAATTCATGTTCCTTATAAAAATTAAAACCCTAAGGATCACTTTTATTAGATGTAGCCGCTGCTCCATACCCTTCTTTCTCTAATCTTCTCTCTTCAAGGGCTTCAAAGTTCAATCTCCTAAGGTAAATCAACTGTCAACATCAATTTTCTCTCTCTTCAACTCTTAAGAAATAAATTCCTAAATCCTTTACAAGTTGCAAGTGCTCCTCCTTCATGTCTTCCTCTCCTTCACGGACATCAAGCTTCAAGTTGCAAGTGCTCTAATTTTAAGTGCTCCTCCCTTTCATTAGATAATGCTTGTTGTCTTTACTAATTTTGAATTTTATTATGCGTTATTGTACGTACTGTTTTGCTTTAGATTTTTGTTTTTGTTCATATTAAATTACAAGTTTAATACACTTAAAATTGTTATTTATTTCTATTGTTGTTGTTTTGTTGATATAATGTATACGGTTTACATAATTTCTACGGTCTTATTCATATAATCTATACGGTTCACCTAATTGAAGCACTTAACCTAATATCAGATTATTATTTGAAGATAAAATCACGTTATTATTTGAAGATAAAAATCAAGTCAGTTTCAGACTACTTTCAGTTTAAAGCAACCTGATTTAAACCCAAAAAAAAAAAGAAAAAAAAAGGTCAAATAAGGTCAATTTCGGGTTGACCCGAACCCGAAAATAACAGGTTCAGGTTGGGATTTTCAACCCGAAAAGTTAAATGGATCAGGTTCGGATTGGGGGGTAGCTGACCCGAAATTAGTCGACCTGAACACGAACCCGACCCGGCTTGACCCGTTTGCTAGCGCTTATTATTTCTTAGTTGGATGGGTTTGAAAAGAGCTTTCCAAAGATATATTATAAGCCCAAATCCGACTTAAATCGAGTAAGTTATGGCCAAAATACTAAACCGAGCCCAAACCGAGCCTAGGTCCACCTTTAGTATGACCCAATGATTATATGGAGTCCAAATATGTTATTTAGGCCCTATATGGTCATACTCCTAATCCTAAATCAATTAGGATTCTTTTAGAAGTTTCTAGAAGGTTCTAATTTATCTTTAAAGATCAAAGAGTTCAAAATCGAATAAAACTTCTCTTTTTGATGATCCTTGTTCTATTCGAATTCAAATACTTTCGGATATATTTTGCATAGAAAACCCATCAGAAATCAAACTCCGTACAAAATTAGATTATCTTATGAACCATCATGTAACGTCGGGAGCATCGCACCGCGACAATCCTGACGCGTCGTGACAGTGGCCAACGTGGCGCGATAATCCTGTCGCGTCGCATCAAAAGCAATTTTATTTCATTCCAAATTCTGATCTTTTTCTGATCGTCTCGACACTCTTTTTTTCCTTATAAGTAGAGGTCGTTTTCCTTGTTTTAAAATCAACTAGAACCATCAAGAATCCTTATCTAGAATCATCAATAATAACCATCAAGAATCACTAGCCACAATCATCAAGAATCCTTATCAACAACCATCATCAATCATTATTCTCAAACATCCATGTTCTTAGCCTGAGCCTAAACACATCTTTGATTCATTCAAATCATTCACCATACTTCCTTTGCGTGATTCGAATACTCCAAACCATACTCGACGTTGTGTTTAACCTCGACGTGAAAGGTTGATAGTTCTGAGGGTTTGGTCCCAAATCTATATTTCAATTCTTAATTAATTTAGTTTATTATTTACTTTACTGATTTCGCTTTCTTGAAGTTTACTAACGTATGTATTGTTTTAATAGCAAGAAGGTTAAAGCATCAAAGTAAGTAATTAAATTAATTATTACTTTCTTTTGGAATAGAAATCATGCTTAGGATAACGCTTTGATTTTGATTATTAGTACCATGTTTAGGACAACGTGTTGATTTTATTAGTAGTGACATGCTAGGATTATTATTAATCCGTTTAGGATCATGCCTAGGATCTTACTAGTAACGATGTTTTTATGATAATAATTGTTATGTTAATCATATGTTGCTTAATTATCGATGACTTATTGCTATTGTTTGATCACGCCCCTTCTTGCAGGTTTTAAAGGGAATTTGTCCTTGACAATCACGCCTAATAAGATAATTAATAATTGGATTTAGGTTTGATATGATTTTAATTCAAGTTATCACCAATATTAGATTTGTTTGTGCATTAATAATCAACCAACATAGATTAAACAGGTTTAGGGTTAATTTGATGAATGTATGTTAATCGAAAAGCGCGCATAAATATCAATAAAAACTAAGTAGAGGCCTATTTAGGGCGGGTTTAAACTCTTTAGGATATATTCGTACCATCATCCCCGAACAAACAGTCATGGTTCCAGACCACTATAGAGTTAGCAATCTCTGAAATTGTGAATGGGGTGTAACCTTCACAATCATGAATGGTTTACAAGTTCCTAAAACTTGTTGGCGACTCTTTTTCTCTAGCTTCTTTTCCTTGGAGCGCCGCCGTGCTTAAAAATATGACCCACATGTAGGGCGAAGAGTTGAAAAATTCCCTACACTTATGTGACAAAGGTGTTTGACAAAATGGAGAAGGTTGCAAGGCACTGTATAGTGCAAGTATCAAGGGGTGATAACTATAAGGTCCAACTTAATGCTGCCAGGTGAAAGTGGACCTCCAAAACAGGACTTCATATGCTATCATTGGCTATTAACAGGACTTCCTTGTGCTCATGGGTTTGCATGCATTCTTGACAAGAGAGTGAATCCTAAAATGTATGTAGACTATTGTTACACAAGGGAGAAATACATGTTAGCATATGAACTTCCTGTGCAGCCTATGCTAGGTCCTAAGCATTGGGAGAAGATTCAGATGAGGGAGCCACTACCTCCACCAGTTAGGGTTATGCCTAGCAGGCCCAAGTCCAAAAAGAGGAAGTTAGAAAGGGGTGAGGGTGCAGCAGAACCACCATAATCCAATGACAAGCAGAGGAGGCAAAAAAGATGCAAGAAATGTTCTCAGTTTGGTCATTATGCCAAAACTTGTGTCAATGAAGCTGTTCAATTACCAAAACCTTCTTCCCAACCCAAAACAAAAAGGCAAGCCAGTTCTAAACAATCCATGGATGGTAGAACAAAGGAGGAAAAAGGAATAGAGGGCTATGACTCTATGAGTAAGGTTAGAATCAGTTGGTTATGTATATTTGCTGACTTGACATTCTTTGTAATTGTGTATCTAACTTTTTTTTTTTTTTAAATAGACTACAGAAGGAGCAAGTCCTAACAGCATTGCTAAAAAAAAAAAGTTCCCACAAGAAGAGGCAGCTAAACAGAAGGCAGCAGCAACATCAACAACATCAGCAGGAGCAGGACCACCAGCATCAACATCAACATCACAGGAAGCCAATACTAGAACTAGACAGTCTGCAGTAGCAGAAGCTAACCTTTGCAGCCAAGCATCAACCACTACTACATCTCATAAGCCAAAAAGACCCAAGCCATCAGCAAACAAGGCTAGGAAGAAAAACAAAAAATTGTGGCAAAGTTATAGCTGTCATAGCCTATTAGTTTGTCTAGTTTAGATGTGATCAAGTACATGTTATTGTAATCTTAATTTTGAACAAATTATGCAGTTAAGTTTAGTTGTTTAAATAGAAGCCTTTAATGAATATGTGTACTCATGGAAGGCTGTTAACAACCTTTTGTACATATACATTCAAGTTGCAAAGACAAATAAAATTAATAGCCAATTCAAAGTCTTTGCAAATTTCTAGTCATTCTTAAATAGAATCCTTACACAAACCTAGCTTAACTAACACCCTAATTTGCAAATAAAGTACCATCATAATAAAATATGAAATTAATCATTACATCAGCAAACATAATGTCCTGCCTTCACTCAAACTCCCCTAAACCAGTTTCATAAATACACTTAATCCTAAAACCATAATAACAAAACTAATGCCAACTAATACAACCAAGTAAATCTTGTCAGAATTGCAATTGTTGCTGCTTATCTTTTCCCTGTCACCACTCAGAGCCTTGCATTTGGTCTTCAATGTGTCAATTTCAATTAGCAAACATCTTCTTTGGCCAACCTGATCATCCACCTCCATTTGTAAAGAGTTGACCTCAGCTTTCATTAATTTCTTATCAAGCAACATCTGGTTTATCACATCCCTTTGCCAATCAGTGCCATCATCTGAGTTAACCTATTTAAAACATTTGCAGCCCCTTGTTTCAGTGTTTGGATCATAGAATTTGCATGCCCTATATTTACGGCCTGTGTTGTCCCTGGTCCAAGATGTCAGTCTTGCAAGTGGCAATCCACAATTACGTTTCTTCTTGTTTGATGGGGATGAGATATTCCAGGACATTTTCCAACCTACAAATATCATAACAAGTGTCAGTAAAACTCATCACTTTAATTGAACCACCTGTATTACACATCAAACTCAAACACACCTTGTCAAAGTGGTGGTTGAGCTCCAAAATGAGGATAACCAGGTGGTGGCCAAGTCCCATTTTGTTTCATCCTATACTCCAAGATTAAATCATTCAAAAATGTAGGATCATCAGTGGTGCCAACCAAGATGGTAATGATGTCATCATTAAGAAACCTCCTAAACATCCTGATGAAGTCACCATCGTCTAATAATGGCCAATATATCCTTTTATAAACATACTGAAATGTGGGTACATGAGGTCTATTGATCCTTCTACTGGATCATCCATTTCACGAAGTCGATCTTCAAATTCTATTGCAGTATCCATCAAGTTACTTGTATCTAAGTCTACTTCAATGTCAACAGCTAAACTCAAGTACTTAAATCTCAAAACCACCTTATTCTCAGCCATTTTGCAAAAAAAAAAAAAAAAATTCAACAAATATACAACAAACACGCTCTATTTCAGTTTAATTACTAACATACAACCTCAATTTTAGTAAACTAATCCCCAACAATAAATCCTTAAATTCAATTAACTGAAGAACCCTAATTTTTTGGTTTTTCTAAATTACTACAAATTCATTTAATTGCAACCTAAATTGATAGTTGAAATCACTCATAAACAAGCTATGAACCACAACCAAATATATATTGAATTTAACTCTTCATTGTTTAAAAAAAAAACAAAAAAAAATCGAACCTTTTTTTTCCTGTAAACTGCTTTCGCAATTGTACCGAATCTCTTCCAAATACCTTCGCAATTGAGGACTAGATATTACCCCTAAATTTATTGTGAATGGCTTTGAACAATCTTAGTCAATTACTTTCAAAATGTTTGGCCTACTAAATAGGTTTCACTTAGGGAAAAAACGAAGAAGGAGAATCTTTATAAAGAGTGAAGTAACAAACTAGCCGTTGCAACGGGGCCCGGTTGACGGAAATTTTAACCGCAGTTGGACGAAGGTACCAAAACCTATAATTTTAAAATTTGATAGGTGTCAAAATAAAAAAATAAAATAAAATTAGATGGGTACTAAAAGTCAACCCATTCCATTTTTGAGGTACCAAAAGTCAAATTTTCCTTTCTTTAATGTATTTTCTTTTCTGTATATTAAATTTCTAGTCATGTACTTTTTATTTCTACCATCAATAAAGTTTGTATGATATTATTCTAAACTAATCTCATACTTATTATTTTATGAAGATATGGATCTGCCTAAAGTTGGTTCCGAATATCAATGTCTTTTGGATAGTGGAACAACACATACTATCTTGAAGGATAGAAAATATTTTTCACAACAAAAGTTTTCTCAAGCCAATGTAAATAGCATTTCCGGGTCAGCTAAATTAATTGAAGGATTTGGAAAGGCTTGTATAATGCTTTCAAATGGAAAATCGATAATCAATAATGCTTTATATTCGAGTAAATGTCGAAGAAATCTCATAAGCTTTAAAGATGTACGCCAAAATAGTCATTTAGAAACAATGACAACAGATCAAAAGAAGTATTTATGCTTCACGGTAGAAAAGTATGGCAAGAAACATATTTAAGAAAAATTGCAAGCATATTCTTCGGGGTTATATCGTATAAGCATACGACCCGCGGAAATCAATTTTGTATCCAACCAGAAGTTAGATGACAAACATTTGATTAATTCATGGCATGATCGTTAGGGACATCCAGCAATTGGGACGATGCAAAGAATTATAGCAAATCCGGTTGGACATTCAATAAGAATGTCAAAATTCTTCGATAAGATGAATTAACATGTTCAGCATGTTCACTTGGCAAGTTAATAATAAGGCCATCTACGAACAAAATTGCTACTGAATCTCCAAAATTCTTGGAAAGGATTCAGAGAGTTATTTGTGGGACAATTAATCCGGCATGTGGACCATTTCGATATTTCATGGTTTTAATTGATTCTTCTACACGATGGTCACATGTTAGTCTACTTTCAAGTAGAAATGTTGCTTTTGCAAAATTACTTCCCAAAATTATCAAATTAAGAGCTCAATTCCCAGATTATACAATAAAGAAAATAAGACTCGACAATGCAAGGGAATTTACATCCTATACATTCAATGATTATTATATGTCAATTGGAAATGTTGTTGTAGCTCATGTTCATACACAAAATGATCTAGCTAAATCACTAATTAAAAGACTACAATTGATTACAAGACCATTATAAATGAGATCAAATTTGCCATCATCTGCTTAAGGACATGCTATAATACATGCAGCAACACTAATTAGATTGAGACCTACAGCTTATCATAAATTCTCACCACTACAGCTAGTTTTTGGTCGAGAACCAAGTATCTCACATCTAAAACTCTTTGGTTGTGTTGTATATGTTCCCATTGCTCTACCCCAACGAACAAAAATGGGTCCACAAAGAAGGCTGGGAATTTATGTCGGGTTTGAATCCCTCTTTAATTTAATATCTTGAATCATTGACTGGTGATTTATTTACGGCTAGATTTGCCGACTGTCATTTTAATCAGATAGTATTCCCAACCTTAGGGGGAGAGAAAGTAGACACACGCAAGAAAGAAATAGAACTCATTTGGAATGCAACACAATTATGAATGTTAGACCCATGAACAAATGCGTGTAAACAAGAAGTCATGAAAATTGTTCATTTACAAAGTGTTGTGAATCAATTGCCCAATGCATTCGTAAACACAAAGAAGGTGACAAAATCACATATACCAGCAGAAACTGCTCTTGCACGTATTGAAATTCCAACTGGTAATAAGGCCATTGAAAATGAATCTCAAGCATGCCAAAAGCGTGGGAGACCACTTGGTTCAAAAGATTCTAAGCTAAGAAAATTATAAAGGTTGGATGGAATAGAAAATGAGAATAATGATGTTCCCTTATTAGAAGGTCAAGAAAAACCAAATGTGGATGAAAATAAAGAAAACGATAATAATCCGAAAGGGAATGAACAAGAAGACAACCCAACATAAAATGAACAATATGACAAAGACATCGATGACAATGAAATTTCACTATTTCTACCAAGATTCATTGGAATAGAAAAGATGTAATTGTAAATGAAATATTTGCAAATTCCATTGCAATTGAAATTGTGTCTGATGAAAATGATGTTGAACCAAGAAAGTGGACGAATGTCGAAAACAGAGTAATTGGCCAAAGTGGAAGGAGGCAATGCAAGCTGAGTTAAAGTCACTTGAAAAACGAGAAGTTTTTGAAAAATAACCCTTACACCAACAGGTGTAAAACCAGTTGGATGCAAATAAGTATTTGTGATAAAACATAATGAGAAAAATGAAATAGTTATATACAAGGAAAGACTTGTAGCCTAAGGATTTTCTCAAATTTCAAGGATTGATTATGAAGAAACATGTTCTCCAGTAGTTGATGCAACTACATTAAGATTTCTGGTAAGTTTGACAGTTACAAAAGGACTGCAAATGCGATTAATGGATGTAGTGACTGCATATTTATATGGGTCACTTAATACAGACATTTCCATGAAAGTCCCCGAAGGACTAAAACTACCAGAAAACCACAAGCCTAGACAATTACTTTCCATAAAACTAAATAAAAAGGTCACTTTATGGATTGCAACAATATGGGCGAATGTGGTATAACCGTCTCAGTGAATACTTTATGAGAGAAGGGTTCAAAAATAATCAAATCAGTCCCTGTGTTTACATAAAGCGATCACAATCATGATTCGCTATTATTGCAGTTTATGTTGATGATCTAAATATCATTGGAACCCCATATAAGCTTGAAAGAACTGCAAAATACTTGATGAAAGAATTTGAGATGAAAGACCTTGGAAAAACTAAATTTTGCCTTGAATTCAAATTGAGCACTTGAGTAATGGTATTTTTGAAACGATTTTTCATGGACAAAGCAAATCCAATCAACTCCCCAATGGTTGTTCGCTCTACGAATATGAAAAAACGATCCATTTAGACTCCGAGAGGAAAATGAAGAAATTCTTGGTCCAAAAGTACCATACTTAAGTGCAGTTGGAGCGTTAATGTACTTAGCTAACAACACTAGACCCGACATAACTTTCTCTGTGAACTTGTTAGCCAGGTATAGCAACGCACCGACATATAGACATTGGAAGGGAATTCGGCACTTACTCCGATACCTACGAGGGACATAAGACCTTGGTTTGTTTTATCAACCAAAACAGGATGATACTCTCGTTGGGTACGCAGGCGCTGGATACTTATCAGATCCACAATATGCCAAGTCATAAACTGGATATTTGTTCACTTATGGAATCACTCTTATATTATGGAAATCAACAAAGCATACATTGACCGCAACATCCTCGAATCATGCAAAATTGATAGCTCTTATTGAAGCAGGACGAGAATGTATATGGCTAAGGTCGATGATCAGTAATATCCAAGAAGAATGTGGGATGAACGTAATAACAGAAAAAC